ATTGTCAAGTCATCGCTCGACAAGGAGTACGCCGGCATCACCGGTGTCCCCAACTTCACCAAGGCTGCCCTCAGGCTCGCATACGGCGCCGACTCTACGCCCCTCAACGACGACTGCATCGCCGTCACCCAGACCATCTCCGGTACCGGTGCCCTCCGCATTGGTGGTGCCTTCCTCGAGCGCCACTACCCCGGCGCGAAGGCCATCTACATTCCCACGCCGTCATGGGCCAACCACAACGCTGTCTTCAAGGACTCCGGCCTCAAGGTCGAGAAGTACCGCTACTACAACAAGGACACCATTGGCCTCGACTTTGACGGCATGGTGGCCGACATCAAGGCCATGCCCAAGAACAGCATTGTCCTGCTCCACGCCTGTGCCCACAACCCTACTGGTGTAGACCCTACCGAGGAGCAGTGGGTTCAGATCGCTGAGGCTGTCAAGGCTGGCGACCACTACCCCTTCTTCGACATGGCCTACCAGGGCTTTGCCAGTGGTGACACCACCAAGGACGCCTTCGCTCTCCGTCACTTCATCAAGGAGGGTCTCCGCCCCTGCCTGGCTCAGTCTTTCGCCAAGAACATGGGTCTCTACGGCGAGCGTGTTGGTGCTTTCTCCATCGTCTGCGAGTCTGCCGACGAGAAGAAGCGCGTTGACTCTCAGATCAAGATCCTCGTCCGCCCATTGTACTCTAACCCCCCAGTTCACGGTGCCCGCATTGCCTCTGAGATTCTGAACGACGCTTCGCTGAACAAGCAATGGCTTGGTGAGGTCAAGGGCATGGCTGACCGCATCATCACCATGCGTGCCCTCCTCAAGGAGAACCTCGAGAAGCTCGGCAGCAAGCACGACTGGAGCCATATCACCTCCCAGATTGGCATGTTCGCTTACACTGGTCTGACAGCCGAGCAGATGGACAAGCTAGCGAAGGAGGTAAGTCTATGTTTTGCAACCATCTTGACATCAGCAGCGCTAACCGCCATGACAGCACTCAGTCTATGCTACCAAGGACGGCCGTATCTCGGTCGCGGGTATCACCAGCGAGAACGTCGGCCGCCTGGCCGAGGCCATCTACAAGGTCAAGGGTTAGGATCGTCGTGACAGTGTTCTACTTCCTTCCGTGATTCAGCGAACCTTGTGACATAACATGGCGCCAGCATTGTACCGTGCAGACAGCATCGGCGGCTAGATTATACAATGAAAAAGCATACGAGAAATGAAACGGCTCACGATCTTACAACCTCCTTCATGCCGTCTTTTGTGTTCTCGGATCGAAGTACCTGATTCGTTTAATTTGGTCGATCCTCCAATCCTTCACCGAAGTTTTGTTCCCACTCAGACTTCACCCACTTTATCCCCACACCCCACGAGTGGTTGGTCCTGTCGTTTGCGAGTTCATCGGTAATATACAGATCATTACCTAGCATAGTATCGCTGGAAACTCGCACAGCACTGTGCAATGACGCTAGTTCCCGTGCGCTGGGACATCGTGATCGCGAATGACAAACTCACGCCTACCTGTCCGGTTTCACTCACTTGCATATGCGGGATACCAAAAGGGTGTTCAAGGCCTACAGGCGGAGCTGCTTCGGTTTGTGTCGCGCCAAGGTCTCCGAAAACAACGAAGCCAAGTTTTGTGTGCTTCACGGTTCGACAAGTTGCGCCGGTACCGCACACCGCATCGTTCAGCAAGTGACCGTACCGATGAAACCGTCACGCTAACTACTCCACTCAGTGACCCTGCAGCTGCGATCCGCAGGTTCCTTGTCCTGCACGCCTGCATCACGAACGCTGATCCCAGACGCCTCTACGCACTATTGCTTCCGTCATCCGTAGCCCCTGCTCCAGCAACAGGAAAGTATCGAAGCTTTGCAGCTCGGAGGAGGCCGGACGAACGAGCATGATTCAGGTGCATTGCAGGTTTCTGCGAGAAAAGAGGTCAGGGTCCAAGGTGCATGCCTGTCTGTGGAGTGGGTGCCCGGGCCTATGGCGTTTATTCGTTTCCAAGACGCATGTGCTGGCAAAGGTTGGAATTATCTTAATAGGACCTCTACACGGCCGTTGAGAGCGCGCAACGCATGGAATCCAACGGCGACCTGTCGAGGTATTTGTGCGCGGTACATGCTGCTAGCCCAACCCAGCAAATGAGTTTTCAGGGTCCGGGTGAGCATGCACGATGACGATGGCTGGCGGAGTGACGTCGTTGTTCTCACGACGAAAACCAACCCTCGTCTTTCTTTATATTCGTACGCTGGCACCCCGCCCTGCCCCCTTCCAACAGCGGGAAATGGCAGACTTTCGAACGCTTCCAGGCCTTCTTGGCGCCCTGTCAACCGCACTCATTTTCCAGTCTTTGCGCACTCCATGGTCTGCTCTGCCGACGGGACAAAGCGGTGCGAGCGAGGGTCGCAACTAGCCCCATCAGCCGCAGAAGATACCACGGTGCGGGCAAGCTGCCAGGTCAGAGGGCAGACTCCACACACGACCCGGGCGCGTTACCTTACTTTTGGCCGGGCAGCCGATGAGGGCGATGGGGGGCATGGTCGCCAGTCAGCCGCTGGAAGAGGGCAGAGTTGGCTCTGTGACAGGCGATCCACGGCGAGTGAAGGCTGCCGATTGACGTCGAGGTATCCACCCACATATAGCGAGGCCTTATTTCTGTGCCTATGATTCCGTGGCCCCCCTCTTTTGTGGTGATGCAAACATCGCCAATCTCACTTCTAGAACCCTCGCGGCTGTATATGAGCAGCGTGCCCGTGACCACCAGTGCCACAAATTGCTTTCTTCTTATCTCACCGACTCGACGTGTCGTCCCAATCTACCGCGAACAGGATAGCTTTGTCGCTTCCCTCGGCAGCCGCTTCCGTCGAGACTATAGCGACTAAACGAGCAGAGGGGTTGACTAGACTAAGAGGGCTTCTGTACGTAGTAGTTCGGTAGGCACCGTAGCAGTCACACTCACATCTCCCACTCTGCCCTGCGTCCCGAGACATTGCCCTCTGCAGAAGACAGCAGCTCTAACAACGGCGCTCACAGCAACAACGGGCCGACCCTTTCGTCATCCACTAAGCCCCATCGAGCCGCAGCCAGTGAATCGGACAGCCGCACGGCCCACTACTGAGGCGCGAAAAAATATCCGTCACCGTCGCGCCACGAGCATTGAAGCGCTGCGACGCCAGTACACGAAGGTGTCGACAGCATCCCGCGAGGTTGAAGAGCGCTTCCCGTAAATCGGATTTGCTGTTGCGTCCTGTTCAGCATGTCGGTTACCGACGACAAGGTTCGTGCTGCCCCTCCATGTCCTGCCTGCCTGCTCCTGCCTGGCCCCTCCATGTCTGCAATTCTCCGCGCGTGTCATCCGCCTGCTGTCCCTACAACACTGTCGCAACACGCGCCTATCTATAGCTCAACCTCCTAACCTAAAACTCCCCCCGCAGAACGGCGACATCATGTCGATCCCTGGCGCCGAGGACCAGATCGACCCAGCCACCTTTGAGCAGATTCTCGAGATGGACGAGGACGAGGTCGAGCGCGAGTTCAGCAAAAGCATCGTCTACGACTTCTTTGGCCAGGCCGACCAGACCTTCAAGAAGATGGACAAGGAGCTGTGAGTGCCCCATGCGCGCCCTGCGATATGCGCGCGACGACTAACGCCACCCAGCGAGAAGAAGGAGGGCAAGTACCTCAAGGAGCTTAGTGAGCTGGGCCACTTCCTCAAGGGCTCGTCCGCCACGCTCGGCCTCACCAAAGTCAAAGACTCGTGCGAGAAGATCCAACACTACGGCCAGCTCAAGGACGACGCGGGCACCAAGGACATAACAGAGGAGAAGGCGCAGGAGAACCTGGCCAAGATCATCAAGCAGGCAAAGACGGAGTTCACCGACGTCAAGGAAATCCTCAAGAAGTTCTACCAGGACGAGGGCGACGAGGAGGAGGCGGAAGAAGAAGCCGCGCCCTCTCCCACTGCGGCAAAGAAATAGAGCCCGCATCAGCCAGAGCTACGGCGCGAGCACACCAGTCTCGCACTCGCCACGCTCAGCTGGGAGGAGTCGGTATCGGTAGCAGCCAAGTCTAGGACCGTACGCTTCACGGAGCGACAATTGCGACTCCGGGCTTTGCGCTCTGCCGCGACACTTCCTCATCCTTGACGAACTTTCTCCTGCGCGACATTCCACCATCTCACGTTCCTAGGAGCGCTTTTTGTGTACATGCCGTCATCGGGTCAGCGAGGAAATTCCAGTACTCTACATAGCTTGCCCTCAATTTGTCTATTTGGTTCCATCGCACTTGCATAGATTACGAATGAATGTTAACTCCCCTATCGTCATGATGAATGTGTTGTTGCTCGAGCACAGAGTAACACTTCACATGATCGCATTGCAGCTGTAAATACTTTAGACAAGTATCATCCATTGAAGCTAATACCATAGTAACCCCTCTCTGAACTATATACTCTGTGACATGGAACGTTCCTCAGCCCTACGGGTGAAGGGCCGAACGTGTGCCCAGCGGCGGCGCATGTCACTCACCCCACCTTCGGGACCTACGTCACTCTTCGCACATGGCGTTGCCGAACTTGGTGTTGCGTCTGATAGGTTGGAAAGCACGCTTTGATAGGCTCAAGACCGCGCCCCATGAAAAGTCAACACCATGAGTGGTTCCATCGTCAGGCCCTTTCTCGGTTCCGCCGTCGTAGTCTTGCCGGTGCTGCCGTGGGATCATGTGGCGTTTGGGTTCGGCGCGCCTAGAATCGCTCTTTCTTTGCCGTGAACCCTTCATTTAGACGCTCCTTGCGCTTCTCGCGCCTTCCTTGTCTTCTCATGCTCTTTGCGGCGGTCTTGCATCGAGCTGCGCCTGGACCAATCAGCCGACGCACTACTGTTACTACTGCTGTTGCGCACTCCACTCGTTGCCTAGCAAAGAACAGAGCAGCTAGTAAAGCCCAATACGTTCATTCAGATCAAATTTCCTCTGTCGGATTTCACACCACATCACCAATCATGGGCAAAAAGAAGTCGAAAGGCGAATACAACGATTTCCTAGATGGCGAGAAGCTGCGCGACAACACCGAGATCAGGACGACATTACAGGGCTTTGCATCTCGAGACATCCCATCACCATCAGTACAAAAAGACGAGAAAGACAGCAAGAAAGCAGGCAAAGGCGGCGCAAAGAAACCACAACTCACCCACTTCCTGTGTCTCCCCCTAGTCACCGAAACAAGCCGCCCCCAACTCCAGCAAAGACTCGAAAACTTTAAAGAAGAGCTCTCAAAAGATGGACCCGTCCCCACGAAAGCCGTCCGACCAGTCGGCACCCTGCACCTCACCCTCGGCGTAATGAGTCTCTCCCCCCAACAATTAGAGCAAGCGCAAGAATACCTTTCAGACCTCGACCTGCACACCCTCCTACGCGACATAACCCACCTCCGCGTCGCAGAAGCCGCCGCCGAAAGCGGCGAGATAGCCGAGAACCTCAATGCCGCCGCCATGCCCGACACGGACGCCTTGACAATCAATCTAGAAGCCTTGGTTCCCATGCAAGCGCCGCATAAAACGAGTATACTGTATGCGGAACCGAGGGATGTGTCGCAGCGACTGCAGCCGTTTGCGCAGGCGTTAAGAGAGAGGTTCACGGAGATGGGGTTGTTGGTTGAGGATACCAGGCCGTTGAGGTTGCATGCTACGGTGCTGAATACGATTTATGCGAAGCCGAAGGGGAGAGGGGGGAGGGGGAGGGGGAGGGGGAAGAGTGGGATGTTGAAAGAGGGGTTGAGGCTTGTTGAACATAGGGTTTCGCCGAATCATCATGGGAATGGGAACGGGGTGGATGGTCAGACTGGGGACACAGACAGTAATGGTCATGATGGGCCTGACGAAGATGGTGCGTCGACAGCAGGGTCTGTAGATGGTAACGCTGGCGAAGCTTCAACAGCAGATCCGTCTCGTCCGACGGGTGAAGGTAATGGTCCTGATGGCAAGAGCTGGATGCGCTTTGACGCCCGCAATCTGATTGAGAAGTACAAGGGGTTTGTATGGGCGGAGGGTGTCAGGGTGGATAGAGTTTGTATTTGTATGATGGGCGCGAAGAAGATCTGGAGTGGGGGTGCGGAAGGACAGGGAGAGGTGGTGGATGAACGGTATGAGGTTGTGTGTGAGAAGGAGATCTTTTGATTGGGAGATGGAACGCAGTGTTTGCGTGTAATTGATGTATGGCATTCTCGAAGAGAAAAGTTTAGCGTATGAACTGGCTGTCAACGGCGTTAACATGCATTAGAGGAAGATAGAGACGCTTTAGCAGTCTGCATAGCTATCATGGCAGTGGTTTCACGACAGTCTCTTCATCGACAGCAATATCCCCCATCTCCTTAGCAAAAGCCTTAACCCTCGCCAACCTACCCACCACAGCTTTAATCAGCGGCCATCTATCACATCCGAGCACAAACACCCCCCACAACTGCGCCTGCAACACCTGCGGCACGAGACACACATCCGCCATACTCAATTCATCGCCCACACTATACCTACCCCCACACTGCGCCATCATAGCCTCGTAGGCATCAAACCCCTCATTCAATTTCATCTTAATCAATTCCAAACGCCCCTCCTCCGTCGCCTTCGCAACCTCACACATCCTTACCCCATTCCCTCGATTCGCAAAAGGAAACATATCCTGCGTCACCACCGCAACCAGCTCCCTCACCCGTGCTCTCTCCTCCCTGTTACCCACCAGCGGCATCAAAGGACATGCCCCCGGAAACATCTCATCCAGATACTCTAGGATAGCAGTTGATTGCGTGAGCACAAAGCGTTGTTTAGTAGAGTGGCCTGGTGTGGTGACTTCGTGAATCAGAGTGGGAACAGCGCCGCTGGGGTTTATGGCCAGGTACTGTTTTGTGCCAATGGAGGTGCGTGTGTATTTCTCCACGTCGTGGTAGAGGACATTGGGGACCTTTTTCAGGGAGAGCGCGATGCGGACGCGACGTGCACAGGAGGAGCCCGTGCGGTTGTAGAGGTGGTATGTTGATACCGTAGATGTAGACGATTGGCGGCGGGATTCTGGCATTATGTGGGAATTGGTTCTTGAATTATACGAGTAAGGTCTTGATGTGATATTCGAATTGGAAAAGATGGGACTTTTGGGGATCGACGAGCACAGTGAAAGGTGGGCTAAGGCACTAGGTAGTAACGAGCTAGCGCCCCGCTCCTACCGCTACTTTACTGCACCTACTCCTGTCGCGTCTCTTCTTAGCCGTACCTCCAAGCCACAACACACAAGCTCGAGGAACGTCATGCTACCGCCGATTGATCCCGTGGTCCTGCAGCGCAATCCTAATTTTGAAATCTTGTACAAGGATCTTTGCACAAGGAAGCTCAATCCGAATGGCTCATCGAGGGATACGAAGAAGCAGCGAGTACATGATGAGATACGGAAGGTATGGATTTCTTTATTTTCACTATTGAGAAGACATTCAGGTCATTACTATACTCGTGATTTCGTGCTTTAGACACGCAATTCGGCAATCCAATCCTTTGTTTGTTTACAGTCCTGGTATCATGCCTTTGCTCAACCACAGGGTCATCTTTGACATCTCCTTACAGACCTTTGGCCTGTAAACAAGAGTATGGGTTGGTATTGACCATACATACTGACATGATCTCAGACTCTGACTTCCGCCCTCACAACTCTCCACACAACGCAGATCCTCACAACATCGCTCTCAACCCTTCCATCGAAAGCCACCGATCTTCCACCAGATCTACACGCAGTCACAGAAAACGTAACCGCGCAACTCAACGGCCAAGTTCCCGCATCCGACCTCGACATATTGTCCGAAGACATCGAGTTCTTCCACTCAAACATCGCTCCCATCGCCTCAGCTCTATCAACCCAATTCACCAACATAGCCGACTACCTCTGCCTTATCGCGTCTCCAATTTCCCCCCCACCAATCTCATCCCTCCACAGCACATCTCTCTCCCTCCAAACCTCCGCCTTGGAAACCCTGCCTAGCGAATTGCAAGCCGCACACACCCATCTAACAACCACCCTAACCACTCTCCTCTCCACACACTCCTCCCTCCTCAGCACAAGCATCAAAATCCTCGAGCAAACCCAACAAGGCGCCCTAGCCCGCCACACAAAATCTTCCGCCGAGCTCCTGCAGACAAAAGCCATCTTACTCGGTCTGCAAGCTAAAACGCACTCGTTGCTGCACCCCCCGCCTGCGGAGTTTGTCGACGCATTGAAGGAGTTTAGGAAAGGGTTGGGAGGGGGAAAGAGGGCGCTTTGGGATCGTGAGGCGTTGTCTCGACGGGAGTTGGAATTGTATGGGAAGGCTGGGGAGAAGGGGATGAGGGACTTGGCGAAGAGGAAGGAGGGGTTGCTTAGAGAGGCGGAGAGGGTCGAGGCTGAGATCAAGAAGTTGGAGAAAGGGCAGTGATGGGATGGGGTTTTGGTGATCAGGGGATTCGGCTTCACGGCGGGAGTTAGTCTTGTTGTGTGCTTGTTTGATTGAATGCTGTATTCGATGTTCGCGCTCGATCGAGTTATGTATCAAAGCGTACAAAAACAGCAAACGCCGTCAATGCTTCAACTCAAACTCCATGCTCAACGCCAGCAACACCAAGCAAACGCAGACAAACAGCGCCTCGAAAACAAATCATCCAGATGATAGTACAGTACAACCCACAACTACATAACCGAGCAATTCTCCTCCTGCTGCTTCTGATTCGTCCGACTAAGACGTTCACGCTTCATCTGCACTTTACTTCCACCACGCTTAAGCTCCTCAAGACGTTCTTGAGCTTTGGGGAATTTGTATGCTGCCAAAAACGTTAGCTTTCCACTCTTCTTTGCAATACAAGACATTTGGAACATACCAGCAGCGCGTCCATACCACCGTTTCGCCTCATCCAAACTGCGCGGGCAGCCTATACCCACTTCAGTGAAGTAGCCCATGGCGAACAGCGCCTTTGGCAGCGGCGGTTCCGCGCACGCCGCTTTCCGTGCCCAGAGGTAAGCCTCGGTGTCGCTTTGTTCGAGTATACCCGATGTACCTGTTAAGTACCAACCTGAAAGTGCGAGTTCACTCTGGTGTTCCTCCTGCGCAGCGGCTTTGGTGTACCAAGCGATACTAGTACGTGCGTCGATTGGGCAGCCCAGGAGCCCGTATTCGTAAGCTTGACCAAGACGGAATTGAGAGAACTTGTAACCGAGATCAGCGGCTTGGTGGAAGAGCTGTAGCGCGTAGGCTTCGTCGCGGATTACGCGTTCGTTGCCGGTTTGCGCTTCGTAGATGAGGGCCAATTCGTGGAGTGCGTGCGGGTTGTCGCGATCGGCTAGACTAGCGGCTCGTTTGAGCATGTTGATGGCTTCGCCGAAGTTCTTCTGTTGGCCCAAGAGTCCCTTGAGGAGAATCATGCCCATCTTGTACATGGCAGGGGGGTCGCCCAACGCGGCGGCACGTCGGTACCATTGGACGGCTTTGAGGGGATCCTTCTTGGTGCCGCCGCCTTCTTCATGACCCATCTCGCAGCAGACAGCTGTACGGTATGCACTTGCGGCATGGCCTCCTTTGGCGGCTGATTGATAGAGCGTGAATGCCTCCTTGGTGTCCACTTGTAAGCCAAGCCCTCCTGACCCGTAACAATCGGCGAGATAGAACATGGCATCCGGTGAGCCATTGCTGACTAGCTTCTTGATGATCTTGTGGGCTTCGAGGATGAACTTTTCTCGGTTCTTGTTCTTCGTCCTGGAGTCGGCAGTGCCTCCTTCATCGGCAAGTACGCTCGATGCTTCTACGAGCTTCTTCGATAGTTTCAGACCCGTAGGAATGTCATTGGGGTTTTGCTTCCACGTGTTGCGTAGCCGGTTCAGCTCATCGTAAGTTACTGGATGGGGTGCCGCGCCTGTTCCGCTGTGGCGCTGTGTGGAAGATTGTTGGCTTTCAATACTGGGGCGTCCAGGCTCGCTGTTGTATTGTCTGACAGGCGGCGGTCTTGCGTTCTGAGGCGCCTGGGGCTGGTTTGCTTGTGGTTGCTGCCGCGGTGGCTGCTGCATAAGGCCTTGTCGCACAGGCATGGGGTGCGCTGGCAACGCGTCTGGATTCGATGGTGGCTGAGTAGTGCCAGGTCTTCTGCCCATAGGATCGCTTGGGTTTCGTCCCGGTGCAGGTGCAGCTGTTCCTGGTCGTTGGATAGGGTGTCCGGGTGCGGGCGATCCGAAGTTCCTGTTCATGCTGGGAGGCGGTTCAGAGTATGTAGTCTCATCTGAGTAAACCCTTTGTGGCCCTGAAGGGGGCGCTCCATATCGTGGGTCGAAGTTAGGCGGCTGTCCACGCATTGGGCCTTGGTTGGGTGGTCCACCATGCATGCTATCACCTGTCATTCCCCTCTGAGGCGGCCCTCGTCCTCGGACACCGTTGGTTAGACCATTCGGGGGCGCAAAGCCAGTGTTTGCCCGTGATGGACCTGGCATTGGGGGAGCATCTGCCGCCATTTCATGCACGCCATTTGCGTACTGCCCGTTGAGATCTGGCTGTGATCGGCTACGCTGCATCTGACCCTGAGGATTGCCGGATCCTGAGTTCATGGGAGCAGGCGGCGGGGCATAGCGCGTATCGTTAGATGGGGTCAAGTGGTTGTCGATTGAATCACCTCTGCGATGCTTGTTGTTGGTCTCTGGGATGGCATCGAAGTTGGGCATGTCCATCGCAGCGTCGCCCTGCCCATAGTAGTCATCGTAGAAGTCGTCCAGTGCCGGTTCGCCACCCTGAGCCTGTTGCTGCTGGATTGGCGCTTGACGCTGATCTTGGTGATATAGCGATGGAGGCTGCTGCTGTGGTGCTTGGGGCATAGGAGGCCTGTGTCCCTGCTGCATCGGAGGCCCATTTTGCCTCGTCCCGCCCGCAGTTGAAGGCCTGGGAGGGATGTGGTCTGGCGATGCAGGGCCATAGTAGCCAGAAACAGCACCAGGCTCAGCGAACTCTTGCTGACCGTTATATCCACCCTGATTTCCATTTGGCAGTGTCTGAGGCATTGTCACAGATCGCTGTGTGTTCGGACCGAAAGCTCGCGACATGGGATCAGATGTGCGATGTGGTTGCTGTCCTCGACTAGGATCGGCGTTCATGGGCGGTGGTCGTTGTCCAGGCGGCATGCGATTAGGGGCATTGCGTTGACCCTGGCCTTCGAAATGCCCCGAGTCCTGCCGCGGGTTGGGTATTGACCTCTGCTGTGGTGGGCCGCGGTTTTGTGGCGGCATAGGCTGTCCTCGCCCAGATGGGCCTGTAGGCTTCGGCTGTCCTCCACCATCCTTGATGTTCATCTGTGCCATGCCCTTCTCGAGGGGCTTCGAGCCAGCTTGCGGTGGCTTTTGCGAAGGAAAGGTCGGAAAGGGGTTGTCGTAGGCAAGAGTCTTGGGTGATGTTGGGTTGAAGAGGGAGCGGTCGAGGCCTGTCAACGGCGGTTAGTAGACTATATTACGATGAAGACCCGCCGTGCCATGTCTATTCTGTAGGAGTGAATCGTGATGTCGCGACATACCTGGGGGCCTCTGGACACCTCGTCCATTTTGTGTGTTGATGGGTGGCGCATTCCCCTGACCTGTCGGTCGGCTTCGGGGATCCTGTTGTTGTGGTGGTGGTCGTTGTCGCGGGGGCTCATTGTAGGCAGGTTGCTGAGGACGCTGACTCTGAGGAGGCGGTCTCCGTCCTGGGTTTTGCGGGGGCGACTGCTGGTAGTGCTGGTCGCTGTATGCCTCCTCCTGATAGTACTGGTCTTGCGGCGGCTGTCTGCGTCGCGGATCCGGCTGGGCTGGCCTCGAGTGCCCATTCACGTCCTGGTAGCCGCCGTGCTGCTGCGCGTTGTCCCATCCTCCTTGCTGGTCATAGTGTCCGTTGTTCCATTGCTCGTGGCCGCCCTGGTCATAGCCGTAATCGTAGTCGTAGTATTGTTGCTGGTCGTATTGATTGTCGTAATCCTGGTATTGCTGCTGCTGCCTCTGCTGCGGCCGGCCTTGGTCGTAGTACTGCTGCTGCTGTTGCGGCTGCGCGTAGTGATCGTAGTGTTGTTGGTGCGCCATGCTTGCGGCGTTATCGGAGAAGCCTGACCCGAGGCTGTCTATCACGAGGCTAGCGAGCGTTGGTGATGTCCGACCGGCGGGGCTGCAGCTCTTAAGGTATCTGGGGCGCAATCGCGATCGCGAGCCTGGGCTCGTTCGGCCTGTTTGTAGCGGATGCTGGTCGTCGACGTGCGATCGCGATGACGGTGTTGGCAGTTGGCCGTGTTCCGGGCAATGTCGTACCTGACAGGGGTGGCACAAACTCAAAGAGGTGTCATATGCCCACTCAGCACAGGGACGACCTTTCAAAGGCGGGATGACGATGGGGTGAAGGTGGAAAGTCTATAGTCGAACTCTCAATTGTACATGTTCTGGAAATCGACGCCAATTGGGGGCGGCCGCTGCCTCCTCAAACACGGGGTGACCTCCAATTAGTTCGATTACGTTTCAACCCAGGTCTGTCACCCACACGCCGCTGGTGCAACACAGGAAATGAATAAGCAAAAGTCCCGCTTTGGCGTCCTTCGCCTTGAAACGCGGACAAGGGACCTTGGAGTAGACGAATCGTTGTCGGTGGATTGATTCGCACGCGAGTAGATTAAATGAAGCCTTTGAATTTGCCCTGAGTAACACCGCCAGCTAAAGTGACTGGAGAAATATGGAGACGATCAGTATCAGCCCTGCGCAAAACAGCCCGAATGAGCTGATGTCAAGCAGTCCCTATACGAAGCAAGTCGCAGAGCCGCTGGAGATCATACACATCATGCAGTCGAGGAACGGCCTACCAATGAGGGCAGGGTCGACGGTGATCGCTGGGCCTTAGGCTCGGGTAAGCGTTCGCCGCCTGCAAGCAGTTGGGTCCCGACGATGCAGCTGCGGTGGCGTCGGGCGGCGGTGCACGACACACGTGATTGAGAGTGGCGCAGCAGGCTAGCTTTGTTAGACAATCAATCCGGCAGTTGGGTGGATCGTCGACTTCACCACTTTAGCTGCACGAGTCTCCACCCCAACACGATACCCTGGAACATACGCTGCCAACAAGCAGGCAATCTAGAAAGTAGACTTCCCGATATTCAGACCGTCACAAAAGACACACCATGCCATCTACCGCGGCCTACATCAAAGCCATCGCAGGGTACGTTGGATACATGGTCGCTGCATGGCCATAAACTGATGACAAGATAGAGGCGGAATCCTGTGCATCGGCGGCCCTGCACTCGTCATGTGGGTTACACCTACTGAGGAAGAAATCTTCAAGGTATGTCTACTTTGCCATGTGCTGCGCCCAACAGCTGCTCATGATCCGTTCAGAGGTACAGCCCAGAACTGCAGAAGAAGGCTCTTGCCGGAAGGGAGCAGAGGCAGAAGGACTTTGACGCCTTTGTTGGCCAATTGAAGGAGGCTTCGCGTTCAGACAAGCCGAGTAAGTGTTCCTTCTGCAGTCATCTTCGAGACCGCGCTAACGAAATTAGTCTGGGCTGCGCAGAAGGAAATGGATGCGAAGAGGTCTGAGACAGAACAACAGATCCGCAGGGAGGAGCGCGACGCATATGCTGCCGAGGGTCGGAGAAGACAGGCAGAGATCAGGGCTAGCACGCAGTAGCAGACCCATGCCAGATGACTTCCTTTTCGCTGTTGTATATTTACATGTATCACGAATCTACGCTTCCAACCAAAGCCCAGGGTTTCCTGGAAATCGAGGCATTCTACAAGACCTATGACGTACCGTTCATCTCCAATGTCAGGCATAATTGCATCCATGGATGTCTGAAATGAGGCGAGGCCTCTGCTCAGGTGACATCCGCCCGGGATCGATCTCGTGACAGCGTCTAGGTTTCGCGAATGTTCCGCGAACCCAGACGCGCGAACCAGCCCCAAACCTTCATCTCGCCCCACCACGACCGTTGAAGCAGGATCCAATGCCCAACGATGCGCAAGCCCCCGTGAAGCTCTCGTTGCCTCTCGTAAGCCCAATCTAGAACATCTGTAGATACGACACTAATGACATCATAGGAGTTCCAACAGGACATCTTCAACGAACTGCGCGAGGAAGATGAGCTCGTCCTCCTTGCGCGCGGCCTCGGCCTTCTGCGCATAGTCACGAACCTCCTCCACTCCTACGATGCCGCCGGGAATAACCTTATACTGCTCGTGGGTGCCGACGATCGCGAGAATGTCTGGATCGGAGAGGCCTTGGCTGAGCACGCAGCCGTCAGCAACGCGCCCAAGTGTCGCGGCCTGAGCCTGGTCAATACCGATCTGATGAGCGTTGGGACACGTGAGAAGATGTATGCCCAAGGCGGGATCTTCAGCATCACGTCGCGCATCCTCATCGTGGACTTTCTGTCGGGGCTACTCAACCCGGAGACGGTGACGGGTGTGGTGGTGCTGCATGCTGAGAGGGTCGTCGCGACATCTTTAGAGGCCTTCATCTTGAGAATATACCGGCAGAAGAATAAGGCAGGCTTTTTAAAGGCGTTCTCGGATACCCCAGAACCCTTCACGACTGGATTCGCTCCGCTCACGAATATGATGAAGAACCTGTTCTTGACGAAACCCGCGCTATACCCAAGATTCCACGTCGCAGTCGCGAACTCGCTCGAAGGACGCAAGAAAGCGGAAGTCATTGAGCTGGAAGTGCCAATGACGGAAGCTATGCAAGATATACAGAACGCGGTACTGGCCTGTGTTGAGGCCAGTATCAGCGAGCTCAAGAAAGCGAACCCAGGCGTGGAGATGGAGGATTGGAATGTGGACAGTGCCCTACACAAGAATTTTGATCAAATCATCAGACGTCAATTAGACCCCGTCTGGCATCGCACAACGTTCAAGACGCGACAGGTCGTCCGAGATCTGTCCCTGCTTCGTACTATCCTGCATGCCCTTCTTACTTATGATGCGGTGAACTTCAACAAGTACCTCGATACCGTGCTTGCAGCCTCGCAGCCGCCGCCAGGCTCAACAAAGCAGAACCAATCTCCATGGTTGTTCCTAGACGCGGCCGATACCATCTTCACTACTGCCAAGCGAAGAGTCTACACGGGCAAGGTATCTAATGTGGAATTAGCAAACGCCTCGAATGCTGTGCCAGAGTCTCTGCAGCCTGTCCTAGAGGAATTTCCCAAGTGGACGCAGCTTGCAGAAATTCTGCAAGAGATAGAGCAAGATGCCTACTTCAACCCAACACCGCAAGACTCGTCCAACGGCTCTATACTCATCATGTGCGGTGACCAAGGTACAGCGTCACAGCTAAGAGAGTATCTGCAGACCATGTACGTCAAGCCAGAGGGCGTTGCAGACGAGGACGAAGACGAGTACGAGCCATCAGCGAACTTCATGATGCGACGCAAGCTACGGAGCTATCTCACATGGAAACGCGACTTCAGCAAGGTCAGCGCTGCGTTATTCTCGGAGAATCAGAAGGCCATCAACACCAGTACAGACAAGAATGTTCAGAGCGGTATGCGTCAGACTTCAGGTAAACCTCCGCCTAACAAGCGGCGCCGCATAAGAGGAGGCGGAAACGCAGCGGCAGGCCCATCGCGATCTGATACAGGAGCTGTTCGGACAGCAGGAGACCGCGACGCACACATTGCGAGTCTAATGGCCGAACTGGAACCGACCGAGATCGAATCAGCACAAAAGCCTGGCGACGTAGGATTTGATCCTCTTGACAACATGGAAAGCTTCTACGAGCTCTTCGATATGAACTCTCTCATCATCGTACACCCCTACTCTGGAGACCTAGACGAGCACATCCTCGACGAGACAAAGCCGCGGTACGTCATCATGTACGAGCCCGACGCAGCGTTCATCCGGCGGATAGAAGTATACCGATCATCCCATACCGACCGAACAGTAAAAGTCTTCTTCATGTACTACGGCGGCAGCGTAGAAGAGCAACGATACCTCTCCGCCGTCCGCCGCGAAAAAGACGCCTTCACCCGCCTCATCAAAGAGCGCGCAAACATGGCCCTAACCATGAACTCGACCGCCAACCTCGCGCCCGAAGAATCCTTCCTCCGCACAATCAACACACGTATAGCCGGCGGCGGCCGCCTAGCCGCCACCACCGAACCCCCGCGCGTCGTCGTCGACGTCCGAGAATTCCGGTCTTCACTCCCCTCGCTCCTGCACGGCCGGTCCATAGTAATAGTCCCCTGCATGCTCACCGTCGGCGACTACGTCCTCACCCCGCAAATCTGCATCGAACGAAAATCCATCCGCGACCTGATCCAATCCTTCGCCAACGGCCGCCTCTTCAACCAAGTCGAATCCATGATGGAACACTACAAACACCCCATGCTGCTCATCGAGTTCGACCAAAACAAGTCTTTCACCCTGGAACCCTTTACGGATTACTCAGCCGGCAGTAGTAGCTCTTGCTCCGCCAACGGACCCGCCACAACACCAGACCTCCAATCCAAACTTGTCATGCTCACCCTCGCTTTCCCTCGCTTGAGGATTATTTGGAGTAGCAGTCCCTACCAAACGGCTGAGATCTTCGCAGAGCTCAAGAAACAGCAGGATGAGCCTGATCCGATGAGGGCGGTGCAGTTGGGGCTTGATCCGAATCAGAGTGGGGATGAGATGCGCAGTTTTAATCAGACGAGTCAGGATATGTTGAGGGCGCTGCCGGGGGTGAATGAGAATGCGGTGTCGACGTTGATGCTTAAGAGTGAGAGTGTGTTTGAGGTGGCGAATATGTCCGAGAGGGAGATTTGTTGGTTGGTGGGCACGGATGTGGGGAGGAGGGTGCATCGGTTTTTTAATCGCAGTGTGTATGAGGAGGTGCAGTGGCAGGGGTTTAGTTAGGGGTTGGGATGTTGGGAGGTAGAGAAGAGGAATCTTGGGAAGTTGTAGTCTGGACGAAGATTATGCATGCATCATTTCTATATCCCATCATGCTTTCACGAAAAGCCCAAAAGCATATAACATAAAAACATACCGAATACCCTCATGATCATCCATACGGAACCATGTATTCCCTCAACATCCCTCAATCAACCATCCGCCCGCTCGCAAGAAGCAGCATTTGAGCAGCCCGGCCCCCGCCACAGCAAAGCAGCAGCCGCAAAGCAGGAGCCGAGACAGCATGGCGGATCTGCACGCCTCCCCCTCAAATGTCGTCAATATCAATCTCCTTCTTGCCGGTGCCGTCGGCCTCGTCCGAATCGCTGTCATCGCGGTCCTCGTCGAACTCGAAACCGATGCCCTCGTCGCCCTGGTCGCCGTATGTGTCGGTCTCGTTGATCTTTGCGTTTTCGGGGAGTTCGCCGTAGGCTTTTAATGAGCGGGCTTCGTCGGCTACGACACGTTAATACCACATACGCATATAGTCATTAGGAATAAAGGATCTAGACTTACCAGAGTACTTCATAATAACATCACCCTTCTCATCCTGGTAGTCTCGCAGCGACAGCAGGATAATGTCGCCCTGGTTGATCCAGACCTTCTTCCTCAGCTTGCCGCGGATATGGGCGAGACGGCGGGCGCCGTCGAAGCACTGGGCTTCCAGACGACCGTTTCCGAGCATCTTGACGACTTGGGCGTATTCTTGGCCTTCCTCTTTGAAGACGAGTTCGCGCTTTTCGTTGTCGTTCTCGTTCTTACCCCTACGTCGGTTTTTACCTCCCTGGTAGATATGTTAGCGGGTGCATCGTGGCATGTGAGAGGAAGCGCCGCATCGCCCAGACATGGAAAGCGCCCCGTGGTGAGGTTTGGGCGTCAGGCGCTGGGAGAAGTGGCGGGGCAGCCCCTCCAAAAGAGCGCTGGACATACCTTTCCCTTGTTCTTCGGCATGGTGGGCGATAGTCGAAGTGTGTGTTGGTGTGGGTGGAGTTGTGTTTGGTGTTGGTGGCAGAAGCGTCGGCGGGCGCAAGTCTTTATGTAGTGGCGGCTCGACGGTTGTTTGCACTGTGGATTCCGACTCACTGTGGGAGCCTTCGACACTGCGCGCTAAGCCCACGTTGAGCCTAGCGCCTCGTCGCTCACCCGGCCGAGAATCAAACCATCCGTGGTCCTCGAGCCTTTTCACCCCCACTCGCTGCCCCTTCACCCTACGTCACCGTGCATACACACGAGAGGCATGGGACAGCCATGTCAAAGAATGCCGTGTACTCGCTCCTCGCCAGACAGCAGCCGCGCACCTTCAAAGTCAGCTATGCCACCGACTACAAGCACTTCATCCTCAACCACGTCGCGTCCGATCCCCAGCACCCCCTCTGCGAGACGCAGCGCCGCAGACAGCGAGAGAAGAAGAAGGAGGGACTGTGGTGGCATGCGACTACCCCCGCCGACCTGAACAAGTCCAGCTGTGTAAGAACATGGGCTAGACGGCGTCTGCGCAACGCTATCAAAGAAGAGCTGCAAGCCCGCGGATACGACGAGAATGGCAAGTTTGTCTATCCTGAGATCCGGAAGAGCCAGCCAGGTCTGTTGAATACGCTGCGCGCGGGCAACACACTGGATTTGCAGGGTAGCTTGAGGTTCCATGTCGAGCCGCCTCTGGTTCCTGCCAAGTATGTAGATGTACGCGCAGAGGCTGGCGCTGTCATAGAGGCTCTGATCAATGCTCAGAGGGGCGCAGTTGGGGGTTTCGCTTCAGCGAAGCCAACGAAGACTCGTTCTTCGTGGAACCCGCCTGCTGCTGCGCAAGAGCGTCCGCGTCAGATCTTCAAACGCGTGGCGACGCGCACGGGGTGATTGTGGCTCGCAGGCTGAATGGGCCCGTAGAGACCTGCTGAGCTGCATCATCGCTGAAGGTGAAGGTCTTATTCCGCTGCCACCGGCCAGCGATGCCCTGGCGTATGTAGTAATACATTGTTCACCAAGCGTCATAACATCCGCAATATCATCGGCGGTCGTGGATTAAAATGAAGAGGCAATGAACCTTTACTCGGAAGCACTGCGCGCAGACACATAACGACTCCTTACACGCGCCCCTGATCAGCCTCATGTCATCATGTCATCATCTCGCTTCCTACCCACCTGCTGTCACAGCTTCGGTACAAACCTCCGCACCAGGCTTGCGATCCACATGCTCGCTTTCTCTAATTGGTAAAGGAGCTTGCTCGGCCCCAGCCGTGGTTCCTAACTCCAGCACCATGGTTGGGTGGAGGTAAACACCGCTTTTCTACAGCCATCTACGGGTTGGCCTTGTGTTTACTGAGTAAGGTAATTTGTTTTGGAATGCTGGGTATGATCTTTCCGATGTGAGTATGTGAGAGTTGGCATGTGGATTGTTGCGGAATTTGCACCGGGCCAATGGGAGGTTGATGTTCTAGGTGTAGTTCTTGTGAAGGTCTTGTTGTGTTGGAATGGTGGTTTGGATGAGGCATAATCAGCATTCTTCCCTTAAGGGTAGTGCATCAAGACTGTCGCCAATGATGGGATGACTAGACGTAGCACGAAGTGTAAACAGCAAAGCGTCGCAACAGAGTGTTAAACGTTAACAAAATCAGATTCAGAGTTCACGAAGTTCTATGCAGTACGCGTCCTGACCAATCAGCCGACTTCGGAACTGAATCCGAGTTGAGGTCCGCTCGGAACGGATTGGACGGTCATCTCGCTGACCCACCATCAATGACAGCACATCCGTCGTACATCTACACATGCATGTCTTATATACAACACAACATCATTGTATATCTGCACTCAACATTGGCTTGAGATAAGCTCTCATAGTCAAGTTCATAGACATCTGTCGAACAACTCGTAATCACCAGCAGCTCGACATTCACGAAGAGTCATCACCACCACAAGCGCCTCATCATGGCATCAGAAGACGAGTTCCAGCTCTTCACATCCCTGAGATACGATCCATTGCTGCTCCAGTCAGAGGAAAACTCAAGAGCCATCTTGAACTTCGTCACGCCGTCGCCTTTCTACATGCTCGCATACCACCGAGACCGGATGGTGGAAGCCGCACAGCACTTTGACTTTTTCGAAGTCGAGAAAAGACTGAAAGACGGAAAGGCTTTGCATGAGGAACTGTTGAAGCGAGTGCAAGACGAGATCAAGAAAACAGGAAAAGATGAAGCAATGAAGGTACGACCTGCATTAGACCATCCCTACACATTACTAAGAACAACCCAGCTCCGCCTCCTCTTCGACAAAGCCGCCAACTTAACTGTGGAATGTACTCCAATACCAGCCGTCCCCCTCTCAACCCTCTACCCCCCATCTCTAGACCCCCCATCCCCATCCCCACCCCACCATCCCGCCAACACCAACACCAACACCACCACAAAACCCTTCACGCCCTCCCCCCTAACAGGCGGCGCCCTGCACCTCGGTCCCACCGACAGCCTCCCAGCCGGCGACTCCTCCCAATCCTCCCAACCCCCTCCACCCCCCGAATGGAAGATAGCCCTCGACACAGCACCCACCCCCTCCTCCCCCTTCACCCTCCTCAAAACCACAAAGCGCGAAATGTACGACCAAAGCCGTCTCCGCGCCTTACCCCCCAACCCCGCTGGTCCCGCCTACCGCGAAGTCATGCTCTACAACGAAGTCCGCGAGCTAACCGAAGGCACGCTAACGTCTCTGTACTTGTTCCGAGGGGGGAGGTGGGTTACGCCGCCTGTAGGCGTACCCTCAGGAGAGTTTTCGGCTAAGACGCTGAAGGACGATGGGGCTGATGAGGGGGAGCTACGGAAGTCTTTCGCGGGGAGGTGGGGGCATAGTACGAGGAGTGCGAAAGTAGGGGCTGGGGGGCAGAGGGGGACGAGTAGGCGCTGGGCGCTGGGAAGTGGGTTTTGTATGGAGGAGCCGGTGGGGATTGAGACTGTGGAAGTGGGGGAGGGGGTGTGGGTTAGTAATGGGGTTAGGGGGTTTGGGTTTGGGAGGGTTGTTGGGTAGACACAGTGATTGGAGATCTTGTATACGTTGCCGTATTGATTAACTGCTTATAGAAATGTTGTAAAAGAGTCTTTATAGTGGTTGTTCAAAAGTTCGAGTGAGATCAATGCTTGTTGGGTAGATGTTGTTCTTCTGGATTTAGTGATTGTATCGGAGTAGTTTGCTCGCAGGTATTCTGTTTGTGCACTTTGAGACTTGTATATTTCATAGCGACGGGAGTGGTCGGAAAGATGTGGGAGTAGTTGGAAAGATGTAGGAGTAGTTGGAAAGATGTGGGAGTAGTTGGAAAGATGTAGGAGTAGTTGGAAAGATGTGGGAGTAGTTGGAAAGATGTGGGGGTAGTTGGAAAGATGCGGGAGTGGTTACAAAGGTATGGAATTAGTTGCTATGTATGTTGCGCTTTGGGTACAACCCCTTACTGTGTCACAATACTGCGTTGACTAGACCGCATTATGCGCTCTGCTTAGGCATCGACTCCAGTCTCTCCTCAAGAATATGGTGCGCTTTGCTATCTCACTGTTTGACGTCGTCCTCACTGCTCATGCCATCCTCGCCACCTTCAGCCACGTCCTGGGTATCTTCTGCCAAGCTTGGGGTCAGTCGAATCCGTAGAGTCTGCTTCGGTGGACTCTGCTCTGGCACGACCTGAGACTGTTGACGGTACTTCTCGACGAAGACGATAGCTTTCGATACCAAAACAGCTCCTTCCCAGCCCTGATACTTGCCCGGCTCTTCAGGAAAGAAGTCTCTATTTCCGAGCAACGCATCTTTGTACTTCTCCGCCTTGAAGGAAGGGTCGTCACAGTCTGGTAGCTCAGGTTCCGGGACGCACGTATAAAGCGCGGGACAGACGCAGATTTTGACTCGATAGTCTGCTGGATTGTCGTTGGGGCCCGGGTCGTTCCCGTCCTCGGTTTGACCTTCCATGGTGTTCTTGTCGTAAGGTGCGCCAGGTGGCGGGAAAGCGAGTTTGTGATGTTGGCTTGACACAAGAAGTTCCAACTTCATCTCCATGGTGGACTGAAGCCAAGTATCGAGCTGTGGGCGCAATTTTGTGGTATCGAGCCAAGGGATGAAGCTGCGGCATTCTCTGATAAAGATACCCATCTGGCTTTTGGCCTTCTCGGGTAGTTGGTGCTCGCGGAAGTGCTTGTTGCCAATCTTGTCTAGGGTGGCCATGGTGTCTAGTTGTCGTACACATTTGAGTCCATCTGTATTCATTAGTTGATGAACGTATTAGTTGTGGGGGTGTTACTGACTGAGTGATGCAATCGACTGCCACATTTCGTGCAACTTCTCCGACTTCAATCCCTTAGTATGGAACGCTGTGTTGAAACACCATCGTAGAGCATGATTCATGAAACAGGCGATCTGGATGTTGACATCAGTAGGCATGGCCGTGGTTTTAGTGAAGCACTCAGTGAGCGTCAGGTTCCCGGTTTGTGCCACGGGGAGTCCAGTAACAGCACGCATGGCAGCCTCAAGCTTGACGGGTACCTGGCTTTCTGCGCGGAGGGATCTTGCCATGTCGTATGTGTGACAGTCAGATGCAAGCTGAGCAACATTCTGACGCCAGTCGGCATGCAGAGAACGAGCATCGTATTCGATCGGGTAGCCTTGAGATCTGGAGACCAGCTGAGGGCCTCTTAGGGTGCTGAGGAGGCATTGTAGCTGTCCGATATGCTTTGCCTTGGCTTCTAGAAGCCCTTCTAAGGATCGTATAACATCTTGATGACGCGAGTTAATTGTCAACTTCTCGGAAACGAGTGTTGCCCGTTCCAGCTCGAGATTACTGGCCACTTGGCGCAGTGCAGCATTGCTGGGAGTCGTGAGCTTCCCGATCTGGCGACGCAGTTCTGCGGTTTCTGTGCGTAGTGTGTTGTTACCCGCCTGCTCTAGCTGTAACTGGCGGCCAACATCATCGAGCCTCTTCTCAAGATAGGCGATGATCGGTGTGTGGGTTGGGTTGATGGGATCAGAGGCCGTTGTTGCTGTTGCGACGCGTCTGGGGCTCCGCGGAGCGTCGGCAGCGTTGGGGGACTCGGCTGGGGAAATAGTGCGACTAGCGCCGGCATTCGTGGGGCTTGCCTGGACTTCAGTCAGTATATACATCTTCCAACAGCACGATAGTCACCATACACATGACGGTGTTATTGCTCCTCGATCAACAACTTCATCGACGGGCATGCTTCCTGGTATCTTGGCGTCATACGGTGAGCTACCCGCGGATCTTGCGGAGCTCCTCGCCACCAGAGCGTCCTGAGCCATCGACCTGTCGTCGGCCTGTACCTCCTCACTTATAGTTCCTCCCACCCGCTCCTCTTCCTCCACTATCTTCCATGGACTTGTCTTTGTACCCCGTGGGCGACCCGCGGGTGTCTTTGGAAGCCTTTTCCGTGCGCGGGTCTCGATATCGTGTGAGGCAGCGCGCTTCTTCGCTCTCGTTGTACGCGCCGACTTCGATACTGTTAGCATTCATTCGAGACTGCGACTGCTCACTTGCATGCGAAAGCTTACATTTGCTGCTTCTATTAGACTCGCCTCGCGTATCTTCTGCCGAACTATCGCAGTACCGGTCTCGCTGGCTGCCGCAGGACCCGACCCTAAGAGAATCCGGCGCGTCTGTGCTGCAATCTCTCTCTCGAAGGCTGGGGAGAGATCGTGGAATGAGATGCCGTGCTCTTCAAACTGTTTGACGGGACCATACTGCTGCACACGCCATCTGATGGCCTCTCTGGTACGGTCTTTGCCCGCACGCTTGAACATCGTGGTCGTGTTCGCTATGAGGCTGAGATCGTGCTGGAAGCAGTACTGCGCACATGCGAATAGGAAAGCATCATCCTGAGAGGTCCAGCGGCGGTGCGCCATGGTAGTTCCGCTGGTAAAAAGGGACGCACGCCGAGTCGAGCGTCCAGGAGCTGGTTGACGATTGGGGATATCAGACCGAACTCTGTTATATCAGAAGCACACGGGGAAGAGAAGCGTGTTTTGCTGCCCCTCGTAGGTTTGTTGACTAATGACACGCGTGTCTTAGAGCGTTTGCTCCCATGCCACATCGGAATACCGCCAGAGCTCCGTGCATATTGGCCGCTCTTATCTGACGTATACGTGAGACAGACCATGCGCCTAGGCGCTGCACGTAGCCGTGGCAATATTAGCGAACGACAAGCGGAGCTGCGTTCCTGCTTCGCTCCTTTTGTTCCTGTTTCTACCTGTCGTTCTCTCGGAATTTGGCGAGATAATGCCCACCAACACTTCAGATTCCTCCGATCTCGATCGTCTCTTCCTGATCATTGATTGGGGGACCACTTACGGAAAGATGGGCCGCATCCATGTCCCCGCCGGACAAGACGTCAATTCAATCAGCAAAGATAATATCGATTATCTCCACGGATATGACGAAGACATTTGTCCCAACGACAAACACAACGATTTTGTACCCACGCATATATACTATGGTCAGGACGGCGACAAATCCTGGGGCTGGAGCGTGTCTCGACTACTGAGCACGTTCCATGAGGAAATCCACCAAAATGGTGATCGCCTTGTGCGTCTCTCCAAACTGATGCTGGACGACACCGACGCGACTTTAGACGTTCGCAACGATCTCGAAAAACAACTCGATGGCCTTACAAGAGATGGTTACATCCACGCACAAGATGATGTCATGAGTGACTACTTTACAGAGTGGTTCACTTTCGCAAAGGAGCAATCCTTCGATATGGGGATTGCGTGCCCCGAATTTGTTATCTCCGTCCCTAGTGACTGGGGCGTAACATCCTGTCATCGATATTATACGGCGATTGTCAAAGCGATAGTGAATGTGTGGAACCTGCAAGCACCACCCAGCATCATAACAGTATCAGAGCCTGAGGCAGCCGCTTCTTATTGTCTTTCCTTAAAGGGCACTGAGGTCGGAGTACGTCAGAACACCTTCTGATCACCGCGCTAAGCTGATCTTGCTGTAGATTGGATCTTGTGTTTCCGTCATCGATGCTGGAGGTGGTACTATCGAGATGATCACACTCAAGAAGACACGCAATGATCCAGTACGCTGGGAACAAATTTGTCCAATGAGCAGTAAGCTTGACAGTCATCTCAGTCATAGCCACACGATCACTAATCCAATCTAGGTGACTCTCATGGAGGTGATTCGCTGAACCGAGTTCTCCGGGACATTGTCACAAAGAAGCTGGCATCAGAATCATATCTTGGTGAACAATATGCGGACATAACAGTTCCCAGTATTGTTGCGGGTGTGGTGCAAAAGTACGAGTCCGACATCAAACGCTCATCTAGTGATCCAACGACTAAGCCGCCATCCGGATTCGTCATCCAGGGTCTCAAATCGGATCCGGCAAGAGGGCTTTTTCCTCATACCCTCAAACTTACATCGTAAGTATGTGGTCTTTGTTGAACTCATTGAAGTACTGATCTAGCAAAAGAGATGAATGGATTCGAGTGTACAAACCTGCTCATGACGGTCTGATCAAAATCATTGACGAACAACATTCCCTCGTTGTAGCCAAGGGAGAGCGCATCGATTCTGTCGTCTGGGTCGGACAATTCTCCGACAGCAAGTCGTTTCGAGCCAAAGGAAAGCGATATATGGCCACCTGGGAACATGTCCCAGAGCATACCGACGACACGGAATACTCGTAAGCAAACCATCTTTAAGTACACTTCAGAAGCAAGTAGACTAAATTCTACAAGAACCTACGCAGTCACCGGCGGTGCAGGGCTCAAAGCCCTCAAAGTAAAGATGTTCCCCCCAAATCGATTCCTGCGCGCCAGCTTCGCTATCGAACGACACCTTCCCAAACAATGGAACAGTCGAAGCACCCGTTTCTTCAAAAAACACCCCCAGCTTCGGCATTTACGTAAAGCCCATGGCGAACCGGGTAACGATGGAAAACTCTACATATTCAACTGTCTCGAATACTTCGCGCAGAAAGGAGATGAGTTTCCAGAGGGCCGGCAATACTTCTTCACGTCTACTCATTCATTCCATCTTTCAAAGCGGTGGATAGCTGAGGAGCAAATTTGGTACACGCCCAAAGGACCAAAGATATCGTGGTATTGCTCCGATGACAAAGAAAACAAGGACGCAAAAGTGCTGGGGACAATTCACTACGATTTGAGTGCACTCAAGCAGAGCGTCGGCGAAGAGCTTCGGGTTGGCTCGAAAGGTGACGACTTTTATGAGGTCACCCTGCGTGTCATGGTCGAAATGCGGGTGGACTACCCTCACACTCTCAATGTAAAGGCTAGATGGGCGCCGGAACTGACTGGAGTATCGCGGCAGGATATCGACGCGAATGATGACGTCGACGTCGACAGAGACTGCCGAGAGATGCTTGAGGGCGACGATGCCATGGCATTCGAAGGCGAGTACATCAACGTCTCAGCGGCGTTCAATGTCTCGGCCGTATGATTCAGCTGGTGCCTCTATACTATCGTGGCGAAGGCTATCGCGTTTCCTTGTACTCTCAAAAACAATGCAACATTATTTGGTATCTCGAACAGTGCTTTGATCATTCGTGTTGCGGTACATCTGGATCTCTCATACCTATCATCAAAAAGTACTGTAATTTCTCCAAACAGGTCTAGAGCCTACATAAACGTCAGGTCACCTACTTTGCAGGTTTTTGTATCGATGTAGGCTGCAAACATGGTTTGCTTTTTGCGTTGTGTGCCGATCCTGAAGTTGTGATTTGAACTCCCTCAACATTGGTTCGTCAGTGCCAAACCCGGAATTCGCCAACCATGAGTCAGATGCAAAGCTCGTGTGCGAAGAACCATGGGACAAATGCAAAGAACTAATTTTGGAATATAAGCGCCTCTTGCACATTCTAAATCTGCATCAACTCCCACTCCCAAAACCGCCTCAAAAGACATTTCCACAAATCTTCGCCAACAACATTCGACTCCACTTTCCAGAATGGCACCACTCTACAACACCCGCGAAACCTTCAGCAACACAGCCCTTTATACCTCTTCTCACATAACTTCCTCCTCCAAAGACGCCTCACCCCATGTCTGCCCAATCTGTGCCGAGCCGTGTGCCGATACAACTGCTATAAAAAGCCACCATGCACTAAAAATGCCATCATGCGACCACATCTTCGGCGCATCCTGCATCGAAACCTGGTTCGACAACGCAAGCACCTGTCCGCTCTGCCGTCAAGACTTCTTCCCCACGCATCCCGAAGAGATATCACAAGAACTAAGAGAGATGCCTGGTCTCGTTGAAGAGGCGTTGGCAGTGCTGCAGAAAATGCGGGATAGGTATCCACAGGGGCGCGACGCTGTTGACAAGATATCAAATTCGCTTGCTGGGTTTGCGGACATGGTTGGAAGGGACTGTGAGGAGAGAAATGCGAGGAAGAGCGAGAGGGGATTATTTGAGCAAAGGAGGCATCAGATGAGAGTTTGGGGCACGATGGCGGAATATCCACGGCAAGATGGAATGGTCGATGGGCAGGTACCCCCGCCGAACGAACCTGCGACCGCTCTTCCACCTCGAGCAGCTCAAATGTCGATGCGGGAATTCATCACTCTCCAAGCCGAAGCCATTCTCGCCCACGACTTCACCCATGATCTTGCGTCCGTCACCCGCACCGGACAAGTCGACCCAGGCTCGGATTTCTTCAGCATCATGGATTTAGCACAGGATGTGCGGCATCTAGCTGAAGAGCATGGCTTATTGGACGTTGCTACAGCCATTTCGAGGAGGTGCATAAGTGTCAACAGGGCTATAAGCGATGAGCAGCGACGGCTAGCGGCGCCGCCAGCTAGCATGGAGATGGTAGAGTGGCATAGGAGAGAAGAGGAGCTGAGGAGGGCGGCTTGTGTTGAGAATGGGCCCGGGAGGACGAGAAGAAGGGGGTTTTGGGGGTGGTGTCGCTGGCGCAGGTAGAGTGTTGGAGGGGTTTGTCATACCCACATTGAAGAAGGCTCGTGAGTTCGTTGAGCCTACATTAACTTGGTGAATAATTGAACACCCTAAAGCCTACATTCCTATTGGCTTATCTACTTCGCCTATTTTCATGTTAATGTAATCTGCAGCCCTGTTTAGTTCTTTCCGTGAATAGAGTAAGGCCAAGAAATTGCTATAAGAGATCAGAAAAGAAAGCAATATATCTGACCCCGCGTCCAGCGACATGCTTCTTGTCGCTGCCATATGCACCTTGAGAGCCGCATATGAATGATTAGAGTTCCTGCCTCCTCGCGTCCTTGACGGATATATTTACATTCCATTGTACACTTCCTTCCGAGCGTGTCTTCCTTGCTAGCGCCTCCAATCTACGATATCCTTCGATGGGCAAACTGAGATAGTCTGTGAAGTGATTCTGTTGCCCAGGAATGGGTTGATCCCCTGTTCCAGCTTCGAACAATTTGCGTTTCTCGTTCACTTCTCCCGCCCATCGGGCAGGGTCATAAGGCGATACATGAATCCATGGACGACCTCCATACATACCTAAAAAGAACAAGTAGCCAACAAGGTCGTGCAGCATGAACACAAAACTGATGAACTCGCCATCATGGACAATCTGGTCTTCTAGATTTGATGTGGAATCATCCTGTGGCATTTTAGAATCCTGCATGTAAGAGAATGCGTCCAGTCGCTCGGGATAGATTTCCATAAAATCTCCGATAGTGATGCGGGATATACGACTTGATTCCGACATATTGTGCACTGTCATCGCACTTAAGATTCCCGACGGCTCTTCAAGGCTTCGACTGCCTGTCTCAATGTAAATAGT